ATATAATATGTATTATTTTGTTTAATATTTTTATTTAATAATACCATAAAAACATAAAAACTATTATTATGTTATATTGAATAGGTCAATAAAAGTCTTCAGAGTAAAATATTTTTTTAATATGTTTTATTTTCTATGCAGATGCACTCCAATCACCCCAAATTATAAATAGAATTATAATTTGTATAAAAAGTCATTTAATTTTTTTTTTTTATATCAGTATTGATCAAATTATCTTTTTTTTTTATTCAATATTGTGCAGCCTTAATTCTTATGTGCATATGTGCTTATACCTTCCATATCTGCATTTTTCAACTGCAAGAGACATTTTAGAGACATTGTTTAACATAATGTTTGCTGTGCCCACAGGCCAGTTTTGTAGCTTCAGGGAACAGAACAGACATCTCTCTGGATGACCCCAACTTCTGGGACAAGTGGGCAAAGAAAGCAGAGATTGACATGGATACTGTCAATGGCAGAGTAAGTTATACACAAACTTTTCCGTTTGAATTCAAAGTTTCACAGTAGAGCAGAGGAGCCCACATCCACCAGGCTGATCAGGTCAATGTGTATATGTGTACACATTCTCTCCAGTGCCAGAATTACTTTGAGAACGGGTTGCCTAGACATATGTGTTAATAAAAAATAAGGAATCAAGTAATAGAGAGCTATTTTGAGTATCAATGGCTGATGGGAAAACCCCCAGAAATGAAATTTTGAGCAGAGATGCTTTGTTGTAAGAGATGACAGGATGCTGGCTAACATGATTGGGGTTTAATGTAATCTACTTTGTGAAATTAACTCAATCATTGTTTTCTGTGGGCTCTTTTGTGTTTTAGTTGTAAGTGCTGTACTTAAGAGTGCATAATGATTTGGCGGTTGCATAGCACTGCTCTTTGTAAAGGTGGTTCTGTTTTCACTTGTGCCTTTTGATGTGGTTTTGCTACAGAACAGTCTGGTGATCGACACCCCTCGGGTCAGGAAACAGACCCGACCGTTCAGCGCCACTAAGGACGAGCTGGCCGAGCTCTCTGAAGGGGAGAGCAGCGGAGACGACAAACCCAAACTCCGCCGGCCACATGACCGTCTCAACAGCTATGGCCGCACGGAATGCTTCAGGGTGGAGAAAAATCTGTTGGTTTATGGGTGAGTGATGGCTGGTGGTCTGCTGATATGGGTTTTGGTGATTGTGTATGGCAGTACAATAACTACACTACTGTTCAAAAGTTTGGGGTCTGTAAGATTTTTTAAATGTTTTTGAAAGAAGTCTCATTTGCTCGCCATGGCTGCATTTATTTGATCAAAAATGCAATAAAAACGGTAATATTGTGAAATATTATTACAAATTAAAAATAACTGTTCTCTATTTTAATATGTTTTAAAATACCATTTATTCCTGTGATTGAATTTGTTTCTATGGTCATAGGTGGGGCCGCTGGAAGGACATCCTGACTCACGGCCGCTTTAAGCGACAGCTGAGTGAGCGTGACGTAGAGTGTATATGCAGGGCGCTCCTGGCGTACTGCCTCGTTCATTACCGTGGAGACGACAAAATCAAGAGCTTCATGTGGGATCTGATCGCTCCCACAGAGGACGGCAGGACCAAGGAACTTCAGAACCATTTGGGTATGAGGACTGAAGCGTTGTTATTAATGAATTCAATTCGCTTTTGCATTTTGATCGTGTCAGGAGATTAATGAATCTCTCATCATTTAGAGTTTTGAATGTGACTTGCGCAGGTTTATCGACTCCAGTACCGCGAGGCAGAAAAGGAAAGAAGATGAAGATTCAGTCCAGCTCATTTGACATCCAGAAGGCAGAGTGGATCCGAAAACACAACCCAGAACACATGTTGTCTGATGATGGGTACAAGAAACACCTGAAACACCACTGCAACAAGTGAGTATTGCACAGTGTCACATGGTCCTTCAGATATGATTCTAATAAGCTGATTTGGTGCTCATGAAATTAACGTTCCTATTATTACCAGTGCCAAACACTGCCTAGTTTTTTTGTGATAAATATTTTTTCAGGATTCTCTGATAATTTCAAAAGAAGAGCATTTGTCTAATTTCAGTTGAATGCATCCTTGCTGAATAAAAGTGTTAATTAAAAAAAATATATCTTACTGGCCCCAAACTTTTGAACAGTACTGTAAATGCGCTTCTTTGCACAATCTGATGTAATATTCACTGGCATATGGCTGGTGTTAATGGGTATTAACACGTGCTGCATTGTGCAACGACAAAGCAACCAGAAGTCATTCGTTTTCAATGAAAGTTGCTTTTTTGTTGGCAACTGTTGGTAATGCAATGTAGGCATGTCTGGTTTTGACAAAGTTGAGAAAAAATTAGCGGTGATGTTCATGATGATAGGACTTCATACCAATAGGCATGAAGACACTGAAGCTCACAGATCCATCATCTGTGACATACTGTAGTCAAGTGTTGGCAAGACAGAAGGAGAATTAATATTACTGTGAGCGATTTCAGTGTTCTATATGGTTCATTTCTGCCCACTTACAGGCATTTCAAATTTAAATAAATGATGCATGAAAAACCATATCTGCAACCATGAATACAACCAGAAATTGCATTTTGAGTGATTTTGGTTCATGCATTCATAATTATCCATCTTGTCTATGTCATGATTTATTATGGACTGCTGCAAATTATATTCAAGAACATGTTTAGCAGAAAGATCACTGATTCCTGATCAAATTTTTGCGATCAGTACATTCCATTTATGATCAGATTTTCAAAAGTTATGGCCTTTTGTGCCACCAACTAATAATGTTAGGCTATCTAGCAACAGTAGCGCCCACTTTTACTTTCCTACTTGTGAACGCCTGATTAGATGGATATCTGCTGCTCTGGAGGAAGTGTGTGATGCAGTGATAAAAGGGGACCTCCTATTTAAGCACACTGACTGGCCCACTCTCACACACTGGTTCAGGGGGTTTTCACCTAGTAGGGAGTGGGAGATAAGAGGTCGTTTTCAGGTCACACTCTTCAGTTCTTATTGCTTAAAAGTTGTCAAACTCCTGATCGAAACTGGTGGTGAATCTGGCTGGCTGTGCTAAGTTAACACTCTTTTTCCATTTGTTTGTCACACATGCTTGTACAGTAAATTCATGCACTTGAAAGCAGAGGAAGTTACATCATGTACACTGTACTTCATGTCATGTTATAAATGGGCTGTACAATTATTGTGCTCTGATAATTGGACTGTTCTGGATCAGGATATGTGTGTGTGGAGGGAGTTTATTACTGTAAGGCTGGTTTTGCATCCAGGCCTTTCTGCCATTGGAGAAAGTTCCTCATTGTTGAGTTTGCTGTCCTTTTTAACACACAAACACACACACACACACACACACACACACACACACACACAAGTGGTGACCTGGGACACAGCTGTCAGCTTCGCATGCATCTGCAGTTTCCCTCGGGCCTGGAATGCCACTAATGTTAGGGTGAAAGTGTGAGTTTTAGAATGAAAGAGGATGAATTATATCTCATTTCAGTGATTACGTGGACACATATGAATAAGCTTGAATGTAAAGTTCTAAAAACCTAAGTCAAGCTGAAAAACTAAGTCATGCTGAGTAGTCCACATGAAAGAACGTTTTTTAAACATTTACATTTCCAACATTCACTGTCATTGTCATTCATGTCCTCCGAAAAACAGCAACTTGCGTTAAACAGGAATGACTGGTCACTTTGTGTCTGAAAAACACTGTGTTAACACTCATGAACACCAGCCATATGGCAGTGCATGTTACATCAGAATGTACACATAAGCACCTTTACACTACTGTTCAAAAGTTTGGGATGTGTAAGATTTTTTAAATGTTTATGAAAGAAGCTGCAATTGATCGAAAATGCATATAAGTAGCATTGTGAAATATTATTACAATTTAAAATACCTGTTTTCTATTTCAATATATTTTAAAATGCAGTTTATTGACATCGGTGATGTCAAAGCTGAATTTTCAGCATCATTACTGCAGTCTTCAGTGTCACATTATCTTTCAGAAATCATTTTAATATGCTGATTTGCTGCTCAAGAAACATTTCAGTCACTATTGATGTTATTGTTTCTGATTAATAGAAAGTTAAAAAGAACAGCATTTATTAGAAATAGAAATCTTTTCTAAAATTATAAATATCTTAACTGTCACTTTTGATCAATTTAATGCATCTATGCTGAATAAAACTATTAATTTCTTTCAAAAAATATATTGTACAATTTATATAATTTTGTATAGTTGTATATGTATATGTATTGTATATGTGTATGTAGATAGATACATCATTTATTTATCTGACTCCAGTATAATTAACCTCTTAGTGTGTAAAGGCAAAAGTCTGTCTTAGAATTGATAGAAAAAACCTAGGAATTAACCTTAATGTTCAGATAACATTAATGTGTTTCATATTTACTCAGCGGTACACTTGAGATCATACAACTGCCACCATGAATGCCTAGGTGTTACAGACTCCCTGTGGAAGTTCCCTGTTATAGTACATTTTAGCAAAGGATGCTCTTTATAGTCAGCGCTAACATGCAGAAATACTGTGGATGGAATTGTGCAGTAATGCTCAGCTGCCCCATGAAGGGATGTGGACAGTTTGGCATTGTTTTGACTGCATAAGAGAACACTCTGTATTTACTGGTGAACGTGTTGTGGGTTTCTGTGTGTGTGTGTGTGTGTGTGCACTTTGACCTCAATCTCTCTGTGTCTTTGTCTGGTAGGGTGCTGTTGAGGGTCAGAATGCTGTACTATCTGAAACAAGAGGTGATTGGAGCACAGTGCCAAAAAGTGCTGGACGGGATAGATGCCAGGTAAGCATTGTCATTACCTTATTACTTCACTGGTAGTTTATTTTTTGAGAGGGATTAGAAAAGTGTAAGAAATCGAATTGTTATTAGTATTTAAAATAAAATGTTGTATTTCATTTTGAACCATATAAAATGGATCAAAATCTAAAAATGTACAAGGTTTCAGAAGACTTTTACTTTTGTATCCCTTTAGATTTTAGGATTATAGATACCGGTACTGTAGGTGCTCCCTGAACTACTCCAGTATTAGTCAGTTTAAGCCAGTTTGGTCAGTAAGATAAACATTAAAGCGCCATCTGCTGTTCTGCTGAGGAAACTTCAGGAATGTTAGCATGTAATACGAATACCAGCATTTAAAGGAACCGTTCACCAAAAATGAAAACTGTCATCATTTACTCACCTCATGCCAATTTAAACCCTTGTGGAACACAAAAGAAGAAAGTCCAGAATGCTCTTTTAACTATTCAGGACTGGAGCTGTTGAACTGCAACAAAAGCACCATAAAGTACCATAAAACATTTTTCGCAATATATGTATAAAAGCTATGAAAAGGGAAACATTTTCTGTGAATGACAATATTAGACTTAAAGTTTGGTCAGTTCCAAAATAGAAAAACGAAATAAACAGCTGTAGACTACAACATACAGCAAAACTACTGGTTGAAAATGTTTCCTTTGCTATCTGTCAGTGTGATCGAGATCTGGGTTCCTGAGCCGGATCATTCAGAGATGCCTGCTCTGTGGTGGGACATGCTCTCGGACAAATGTCTGCTATTAGGAGTGTATAAGCACGGTAAGTCTGATCAGCTCTGATGCGCTCGAGGCTTTATGTGTGGGTACACACTTTTAACTAATGTCTGTATGTGTTGTAGGTTATGAGAAGTACAACACTATTCGTGCAGATCCAGCACTGTGTTTCTTGGAAAGGGTTGGGCGGCCAGACGAGAAGGCCATCGCTGCTGAACAGAGAGGAAATGACTTTATAGATGGGTAAGGGACACAAACATGTGTTCCATTCATACAGATAGAGGAAGTCTATTATCAGTTTCTGTCAGCAGTACCTCTCGGAGGTGTTTGTAACTGTTTGTTTGTGTGTGTTTGTGCAGGGATGTGGACGACCCTGAGTATAAGCCTGCTCCAGCTTTGCTGAAGGACGATATGGAGGTACGCAAGTGGAAGAAAGAGAACTGGCCCTGATAAGACTGTTACACACACGAGCGCACACACAAGCTCATAAATAATATGATTTAGTATGACATCAGGGATGGGCAAATTTTACAATTCATGAGTTGAATTGAAAAGGCCACACCCCACAGAATGTTCAATTGGAATGACACGGAGAGGAATGTAGTCGTAATTCAGTAAACACAGTCACAAAACAAAGGTGTTTCATTTGACTAAATAACAGCCTACTTGTTCCCTGATATGTAGAATACTTTTTTCCTAACTGATCAGACATACTTTCTCTTTTTTCTTTTTTCTTTTTTCTTATTTTTAAATTTAATTTTAGCCATGCAGCATTACAAAATGTTTTCAGATAATGTTATAAACAATTGACATCAATATTTGAATTTGATTTATAAAAATATATTTAAAAGAGAATTCAGTATAATAAGTATAATAAAATATAATGCTTAATTTGATTATATATGTAATTATATTATAAATGTCATCTAATGTTTCTGGAAATACCTCACATGGTGTGTGTATGGTAACATACAGTAAGTAATTCATACTGAAACGTACTGTTAAAAACTACATTTACAGCAGTTATGAATTTCTTATTTAATTTCTTTTTAATTTTGGTTAAATTCTGGATTTTTAAAGGGCTTTCAGTGTGTTTCGTCTGTGTGTGTTATAGTGTTAAAATGTGCTCTTTCCTCTAGGACGATGCTTCCTCCCCGGGAGACCTGGTCATCACTGATGCAGGCGGAGGTATAGACAAACTATAGTGATTCCCATTCCCTTTTATTAATAAACCTCTATTTTGTTTTGAGTTAATATTAAGTTATTGTTAGTCATCAGTGGTGTGTTTGTGTTCATGCAGAAGGAGGGTCTGTATTAGATGGTGGAGGTGGGTCTCTGGGTGCTGGCTCAGGGGTGTACTGGCCCTCGCCCTCTACGCTGACAGCCCGACTGCGGCGTCTGATCACCGCATCTCAGCGATTCACCAAGAGCAGACAGATACTTCAAATCCACCAGACACAGCAGGCTACGACCCCAGCCCTCTATGCTCTGCCTCCCACCGTCAGCGACACACTCAATCCCAAAATTGCTGCTAAGATTGAAAGACAACAACGGTGAGAGGCTTTAGAAAACATCGTAATATCATAACATTTTCTGATTCAACTAACTGAAGTTCATTCCAGTGTTTGAACCAATTAAATTAATGCGAAATATAGTTAGTGATAGAGAGTTATTTAATAATACCCCCCCCCCCCCCCCCCCCCCCCCCCCGAAATTATGTCCCGTTTTTTTTTCTTTAACCATTAACAAAGTCGGCAAGTGTATGATGCTTCATGTTTTAATGTTTTAAAAGTCGTATATGGAATTTCAACCATAATTCAACTTAAGGATAAAGAAGTCATTTTTCTTGCTTTAAAAAAAGAAATGAATGACTCTTGAAAAATCAGTTTAAAATTCTTTAAACCCACATGAGATTATGTGGCCTAGAATTTTATTGGCTCCTCGTATAATCAGCTGTTTAACCGAGTTAATCAACAAAAACTTCTTGAATCTATGACTTAAATACTTGGTGTACCTTTAAGAAACTTTATTTGTAACATACCTCTTTGTAAAATGTATTATCTTTTCTAAAAAATTCTGTTTGTGGGCCAATAACTCTCAATAATTTCTCAATAGGTGGACACGGAGGGAGGAGGCCGATTTCTACCGTGTGGTTTCAACATTTGGGGTAGTTTTTGATCCGGATTTGGGCCGTTTTGACTGGACCAAGTTCAGAGCCATGGCTCGACTGCACAAGAAAACTGACGAGAGTCTTCACAAGTACCTGTGTGCCTTTATTGCCATGTGCAGGAGGGTCTGCCGCCTACCAGCTATAGAGGGAGGTGAGTGCCACAAACATCTAAACATGCTCACACACTTGCATTGCTTTTCCGCCAGTCTCCCAATGCATTAGCTTGTACTCTTTCATCATCAGTTTGTGTCTTCTCTTTAATCAGATATGGTGGACTCCTCTCTTGCTATTCAACCAATCACAGAGGAGCGTGCGTCCCGTACCCTATACCGCGTGGAGTTGCTGCGGAAGATAAGAGAACAGGTGTTGCGTCACCCGCAGCTTTATGAGCATCTCGCACTGTGCCAGCCTGGACCGGATCTTCCAGTGTGGTGGGAAACAGGATCACACGATCGAGATCTTCTGCTTGGGGCGGCCAAGCACGGAGTCAGTCGAACAGACTACCACATCCTCCGTGACCCGGAGCTCTGCTTTATAGCGGCCCAGAGGAACTACAGCCAGAACAAGGGAACTGTATCACAAGCCCAGAATCAGACGCATTCGCTGGGACAGTGTCACATCCCGGCCCCCCTCCAACACATTCAGCCTAAAGAGGCTTCTGCTTCACCACTCCTAAACCAAACTGAACTGAAGGAGGAGCTGATGTCAGAGGGAGAAGAAGAGCGTGTAGAGCGAGAGCCCAAGATGGAGATACCCTCTATCAGACCACCCACACCTTCAGGAGTGGACGAGAAAGATAATGTCAACAAAGCGGGAGAGAGCGAGAGTCGGATGGTGGCGGCCAGAACAAAACCGCTCACGCCAAACTCAGTTACTCGAAAACAGAAGAAGCTGAGTAAGCGGAGCCGCAGAGAGGCCAGGAGGGGGTCGGGATCAGACTCGGAGGGCTCCTCGTCCAGCTCTTCGTCAAGTTCTTCATCGAGATCTTCTTCCTCATCCTCGTCTTCATCGCGGTCAGGATCCAGTTCCTCGTCCTCGTCTTCCTCCTGTTCTTCGGGCTCCTCGTCTTCATCATCATCCTCATCCTCATCTTCAGAAGACAGTGACAGCGAAGAGGTACCAAAGAACGGTAAGTTTTCTAATAAACTTAAGTTGTATCCCAGCCTCTGCAGTAACTATAGGACTACTTCAGCACTCCTAACAAGTAAAGCATTTTATTGCGTCTGAGTTGTGCTACACTAGTCCAATCCATGTAAGATGCATTTTGTGTCTTAGGTTCAGCTATGCTTGATTGGTGATGAGGTTTCAGGCTCTAGAGATGACTGTAATAAGCACACCAGTTTTAAAGAGCTGCCACATATGTGTCTCCCTTGTGTATCAAATAGTATTCAGGTGTTGAGTCAGCTCACTTACGCATTAATGTCCAGTTCTTAGGATTTGAAAGCATCCAGCAGGTCTTTTGGAGAGTACATCATGCCTACCCTAGGGACTATTTTAAGAGAGAGATGCTTATATATTCATTTAATTTGTATATATTCAGTGTGTGTATACTGTAGTATACAGCACATATACGGTAAACTGCCTGCTGTTTCTTAAAAATAAACATGTATGTAATTAAATCGTATATAATGATAAACATTTTTTTTTATTTTTTTTTATTGATTTTTTCAGTGACATAACAAAATCAAGAGGTACCAATTCGGGAATCAAAACAGTGTCAAGTACAACTAACAAGAAAAAAAACACAAAAACACAAAATGGTCACCCACTGCTAAATAAAAGCCCAATATGTTCGCTTACAGAGAGATAAATCAAAAAACATTCCAGCATGCTACAAATTCACAGAAGAAAATGATAAACATTTCAAACATTATATTTTTCATTCAGCAAGAGACATTCAGTTGAGATCTCAGAATACATATTTAATCCAAAAAACAAAAAAAGAGATTGACATTGCTTCTGATTCATTCGCCACACTGTAAATGGAAGGAATGAAAGTTGAGTGCATCGCATTGTGGGAAACAGCACGCAGTGCAGTGTGCCCTGGTTGTATATTGCACATTTTGGCAAATGTTGTAGGTTGTCTGGGTATTCTGTTGCAGAGTGTTTGCACAGTATGCATGCTACAAAAACAGAAATATTGATATGAAAGTGTGCAGTTCCAAATATAGCCTTTTGAAATACTTCCATGTGAAGTGTGGAGTTTGAGCTTGCAAAATGTAAAAATGGATAATGTTTAAAGTGTGTTTGACCTGTATATCACTGATGGGTCTGTCTGTATTCCGGTAGCGTCAGCAGTACCTGGTGTTAAAGGCTTTGACGAAGACAGCATTGCCTCACTCAACACTACACAAGATGACATGCAGGACAGTCATGTGACCAATGGTATCTCCAACCCTCCCCACCCTTTCCAGGGTGGATATATGCTTGCTGCCTCCTACTGGCCAAAGGTTAGCAGGCCAAGCCAACATCTTGTGCCAGTTCTGGCCTCACTCTGTCAGTGTTGTATCTTAGTTAAGGCTCTTCCACTGTAAGAACGGTATAATTTCATTAATTAAAAAGTGATGAACCTATATAAACGTTAGTCTGCTTTGGAACAGGATGTTTTTCTCTACCTCACCACAATCTTACAGTTCAACCTTATAGTACAGTCGTTGCTTGTGATGTCCTTACAATAATACTGTCCTCTCATTGCAGGACCGTGTCATGATAAACCGGTTGGACAGTATATGTCAGGCAGTGTTGAAGGGGAAATGGCCAGGGGTTCGTCGTGCTTATGAAGGCAATGCAGTGACTTCTTTCTACACCACCAAACTCCTGGACAACGCAACCACGCTCACAGAAGACCCCTCAGCCTCCCCTCAGGGTTCAAAGGTGAAGAAGCATGTTGCAGACAGAGAAAAGGAGTTCTCAGTCAAAATCAATAACGTATGTTATTTTAAGTTTCCCCCCACAAATGCCGATCTGCAATGTCATTGCAGTGCTTGGCATGTTTTGTTTGTTTTTATTGTTTGGTCTCCCCCCTTTTCCTCCAGTATTTGTTTGCTTCTTTCTTCCTTTCATTTGACTTTGCTTTGAAAATTTTGCAGCTTTGGTTTCGTTTTCTGTTTATGTTCTCAGAAGTTTGTTTTCTATACCTGCCTGGAGACCAATGGTCTATTCCTGTGACTTTCACTGGGCTCAACTCAAATCTACTACACTGAAGTTGCAACATTTTCCCATTTAAACTAAACCCAGTACACAAATCAGTCTTAGCCTCTGTCCTTTGCTTTGAAGGTGAAGTGTGTAATTTCTGTGACACTAGCAAAAGGGAAATTTACCCACATTAATTTCCCAGTACCTCAGTACTTCAAGAAGTTTGGCTAAAACAAACATAATAACGTACACTAGATGTGACCATGCAGTGCAGTTATCAGGCCTATAATATGACCATGTTTATTTTTGTATTAAACATCCGAACAGACATTTATCATTACATTTTCAAGTTTTCAATTATAACAAATTATTAGTTGTATTATATTCATTATATTATTATATATTATATTTAATAATATTACTATACTTTTTATACATATTATTTAAGGATGCACCGAAATTTTGGCTACCGAAAATTGAACAGCTATTTTCGGTTTCGGGACGAAATGTTATTTTAAGGGACAAAATCAGTGACCGAAACAGATGTTTAATTAGCGCTTCTCCGATGCCATGTTTTCACTGTGTTCAGAGTCTATCTCGTTCACGTGTATAAGCTACAACAGTTAACCATGCCAGCTGTGTAGACACTAGCTCTGGATTGACAATATTAATTTCACAATTTTAATCTTTTATGATATGGTTTCTTAAATCTTTTATTATGTGCAACTGCAAATTCAAAAATTCTGTAAATTTATTACGAAATTCAACAATAAATGTGGTTTTGGCGCTCTTTAATTCGACATGACTGATGATCACTGTAGCCGCCTCAGTTCAAGCGGCAACATGGATCAAGCTCACGTGAACCGATCATCTCATGGGTGAACACCAGAAGGTAAGTTGAAAGATTAGATTACATGAAAGACTACATTACAACTTACCGAAATTACTGTCTCATGTAATCGCTCAATCAGTGTTTCAACCAGGGAAAGACGTCAATAAAACAGCTTGTAGCTTATACAATGTCACTTAACGTTACATTTACCTAAAAAAAAACTATTCAATGTCCATAAACGTATTAGTTAGCTAGAAAAATAACTATAGAGAAGAACATTTTGCTAAATATATGCACTTTTAAATTTGTTTTACTTAACCTGTTAGTGATATCTTTATTATTTCATGTATGTGACTTGTCTGAATAAGTCTGTCAAGAAAACAAGTTATTACAGTTTATTGTCGTTTAAATGTTTATATTTCACCAACAAACTGGAGTAGAAACAATTATTTTATTAAAAAGTTGATGAAAAACTGCATTATATATGTGCAATTTAAATGTTTGTACAACTTAATTTTAGCTATTTGAGTGTTGATTATTAAATGTGTTTGATTTCATTCATTTATTATACATTTTTTTGGTTTTGTTTTCAGCTAAGTGCATCCTGAATTTTCAGTTTCGGGACAGAATTTTAATTTCGGTGCATCCCTAATATTATTACATTACTTTAAAAAAAAAAATAGTATTTTTTATATATAAATACACATGGCTGTATTATTCACTTCTGTTCAAAAGTTTGTGCTCAGTAATTTTTTTTTTTTTTTTTTTTTAAGTAATTCATCATATTCAGCATAATGTTGTAAAAGATTTCTATTTCAAAGAAATGCTGTCTATTCATCAAAGAATCCTGAAAAAGTTTATCTCAGTTTCCACAAAAATATTAAGCAGCACAGCTGTTTTCAAATTTGACAATAAGAAGAAATGTTTCTTGAGAACCATATCAGCATATTAGAATGATTTTTGAAGGATCATGAGACACTGAAGACTGGATTAATGATGCTGAAAATTCAGCTTTTCATCACTGGAATAAATTACATTTTAAAATATATTCAAATAGAAAACAATAAATTGTTACTATAAATTGTAAAAAAAAAAAAAAAAGAAAGAAAAAAATTGCTGTTTTACTGTGCTTTTGATCAAATAAATTCAGTGTTGGTGAGCATAACAATCTTTTGAATGTTAGTGTAATACAGCTATGTCTATATTTGACAAACAGATAGTCCCAGCCCAAACTTTTCCCAAACAGAGCCAATGTTGCTAATGTCAGACTGGTCAGGATGCTTAGACAGAGCAATGTTTTGATAACACCAAATTGTGAGAATCAACCCATGTATTAAATTACACACATCACCTTTAAGTCCTTTGACTTTTCTGTGTTCCTGTGTTGCCTCAACCCACTAGAGAGACAATTATATTACTTGCATATTGATTAAAACTGATGTCATTTGAGTAACTCATATGAGTGTTTTTATCTTTAAAAACGGTTTGTTTGTTTATTCAGTAGACCTTCACTGGTCTCATACCATTATCATAGGCTTCATAGGACACTGCCCGATTAGCAATGTGTCCTTAACCTCTGACCTTTGGCCTGTGACCTGCAGCAGGAGGGCAGCCTTAAACTGACCTTCCAGAAGCAAGGCCTGCCTCTGAAGCGCCCCCTGGAGGGTGAAGAGGGACCTCTCGCCCAACAGCAGTACTTAGCCCGGCTACAAGAGTTGCAGAACGCCTCTGATACCAGCCTAGCGGACTACACCAAAACACTGAACAGCTATCCACAAGGTAACATATAACCTAACATACTTGCTCAGATACCTGCTTTACCCACATAACACTGTACACAATGTACAACTCTGGAGGACACTAGAAATGCATGTTCTTTGTTGGATTGCAGTACCGCCAGAGCAAATGCGACTGAATGGAGTGATTGATGGACAGCCTGTAGTGAAGAGGAGGAGAGGACGGCGGAAGAATGTGGAGGGGATGGACCTGCTGTTCATGAACAGAAACAGGCCTTCTGTGATGCCAGAGCAGGTTCGACTTGCTTATGACCTCTTTTTCTTTTCTTTTTTTACATTTTAATTCTATATGTAGAAAGCAAGAAAAAGTTGTCATTCTTCAGTATCAATAAGGCAAATGCACCCCCTACTTTTGCAGGTTCCTGCTGGTTGGAGTGGTGGCATCGCAGGTACATCCGCTCCCCCTGGGCTGAGCACACCTCAGGGGCCCAGTACCCACGATACGGAGAGCCGCGTTCCCGTCATCAGCCTCAAAGATGGGACACGACTAGCTGGAGAGGATGCTCCGAGACGGAAAGATCTTGACCAGTGGCTGAAGGAGCACCCGGGCTTCGTGGCAGATGTGGGAGCTTTTATCCCTGTAAATACCAGAAGCTAGATAATTCTCTGGATTTTTTAAAATAATTTAATAAATGTCATAAAATTGACCAAAAATGTTTTCATTTTTAACGATAATCCTAATTTCTTAAACAATACAAATGCCATCATCTCATTTTATGTTAAAATCAAGTTATCCTTTCAAATGTAAAAAAAACAACAAAAAAACAAAACAATTGTGTATGTAAGAATATCCATGGATTTAAGTTTCTGATCATTACTTCTTTTGCAGAGTGCAACCAAGCTGCAGTTTCAAGATGGCAGACCAAAACAGAAGAGACATCGCTGTAGAAACCCCAACAAAATTGATATCAACAGCCTGACGGGAGAAGAGCGAGTACAGATTATCAACAGGCGAAATGCTCGCAAGGTGAGTCTATGATGGTTATAGACTTTGTGTGCACATTTTTTGCTGTACTGGATGTTGTTTGTAATACTTGTTTCCTCTTTCTTTGTTCCAGATTGGTGGTGCATTTGCTCCACCTCTGAAAGATTTAAGCCGGTTCCTGCAAGAGAATCCAGAGTATGGGGTCCCACCAGAGTGGGCTGACGTTGTTAAACAGTCTGTGAGTAAAAAGAGAAACATTTTCCATTCCAAATACAGTGCATTTACAGAAATTAAGCATGTCACAATATACTGGTATTTCTGTTAACCATGATATTAAAAAAATTAAATATTTGTATCACACTACACATGTATACTGCCGTGCATCTAGCTGGCAGAGTGCCAAAACTTCGCCGGCGCGTTCAGCTCCGCCCTGAACACGGTCGAGCCGACGCGGGACTAATATATCACAGAGTGATAAAAATGAAGCAACAAGGCGCATATATCATAATGAAGCAAGAAGTGCTGGTGCATACAACATCAGAACACCTGTTAAAAGCATGCATACAAAACACAGCGTCCGGAATAAATCCGCGGGACGAGCGAAGTGCACGCACAATAATAGGGCTGACAGCTGAAACCAAGCATACTGAAAAGACGCAGAACACAGAAGGTTGTGCAATAAATGCATTAGTCGTCTAAGTAGTCCAGCACGCGCTCCCTACTGAGTCCGGGTAAAGCACTGCATTGGCTACTTTTCGTGAACGGAGCGTGACACCTTCGAACACGAATCTCGGTAAACGCCTGTGAAAGTAGGCTATATATATATGCGTCTTTCAGATCCACCGCTATAAACCAGTCGCGGGTCGAATGTGCGCGAGGATCTGTTTTTATCGTGATCATCACATTACATTATAACGCGTGTTTAGCAAGTCTTATGGCACTCGGTACCACTTGAAGATACTCTTTAGTCTTACCGCTATATGGAGGTATTTTGTCATGTCTAATGTATTAGGGCCACCAGAATGCAACCAAAGCACAATAACTAGAAAGCTAGGTAATTGTAAATCATACAAAAATAAATGCCATGATCACTAGATTTTATACGGGTGTTACTATAATGATTTTGTTAATGGTGATCAGCAACCAAATATTGATAATGTGGAAGTTACTGCCTTTTGCCTTGGCATGACTTCTCACTTTTTGCTGACAATACAAAGGCAGAGTACAGTAACTTTAAAATAGTGGTCAAAAGTCAAGTTTGAGCTCAAAATTTTGTTATGTAGATAATTTTCATTACTTAAACATCTAATTGCCAGATTTTCAGCGCCCTACCTATAATTAATTTGGCGGGACAACTAAAAATCTTTGAAGTCATTTTTCTCAGTTCCACACTCTAGCGAGTTAAGGTCTTTTGCCTTTGTAGGGCAGTATAATACTATGTACTACATAAAATATAATATGCAGGGCCAGTAACTAGGCCTGCACCTGAAAAAGTTTGGGAAAAATGTGTGATTTTTTTTTTTTGGATTTCGTAAAAAAAAATCAAAAAAAAAAATCATGGTGTTAGACACCACAGTCTACTGGAAGTGCCGATCAACAGTTATTCAATAGTTTTTCTCCCTACACATATTTTGAGTGTGATTCATCAGAGAAAAAACACAAAATATACAAAGTTTCTTTTCAATAGATATCTCAATTATAGCGTTATTCTTTTTGGAAATCTGATATGGTGACAGCCCCAACATAAATTTAATTATAATTTTACATAAACCCAAAGGAAACCTACGGAAGCCCTGAACCGTAACGTAAAAAAAAAAAAAAATTCTAGCATTTGGAGATTGAAGTCGAAATATTTGGAGATTAAAGTCGAAATATTTGGAAATTAAAGTTGAAATATTTGGAGATTAAAGTCAAAATATTTGAAGATTAAAGTCGAAATATTTGGAGATTAAAGTCGAAATATTTCGAGATTAAAGTCAAAATTACGAGAAGTCTTCCGTAGAAGTTTTTGTGTGTGTATGTGTACAGGTGCTAATCTAACAACATGGCATTACCATTATTTTGTTTTAGGACGTTACAAAATATGTACCGTGCCGGAATATACTTTACAGGCGAAAACACTCTTCAGACTGGATGGAGTTATCCAGCTTTATCTGAGGAAATTACGGGATCCGGCCAAATGATTGGATACAGAATGATGCACTTAAAATGTATCCAGAAATGATTTATGGTGAAGAGGGAGACAGTACTGTTAAGTGTTCTCGACCCAGATGGCGTTGCCTATAGACGAGCACGAAGACACGTAGACTCCAAAGTTTGGACCAGGATTGTGGTACCTACTCCGGCAGAGTCTTCGTGTTCGTCTATAGGCGTCCTAAACAAATGGACATGCCATGGTCTCCAAATATTTGGAGAATAAAGTCGAAATATTTGGAGAATAAAGTCGAAATATTTCAAGAATAAAGTCGAAATATTTCGACTTTAATCTCGAAATGCTCTTTTTTTTTTTCCTTTTTTTTTTTACGTTGCGGTTCAGGGCTTCCGTACCAACTCAATATATTCACTAAAACTTTATAGATGTTTTTGCTTAGTTGTATAACAGATGAGTTTGTGTTTTCAGGGTTACCTTCCTGAAAGTATGTTCGACCGCATCTTGACTGGCCCCATCGTTCCCGAAGAGGTGAGCCGGCGAGGTCGACGCCCCAAAAACGCTCTGGCTAAAGCAGCCACCATGTCCAGTGCCAGTGCCAACGCCGCCCTGGGGCTCAACCCACTCCTATCCAACGGCCTCCTCACTGGGCTGGATCTGCCTAGTCTTCAAGCTCTTCAGCACAACCTCCAGAGTCTCCAGTCTCTCCAACTCACCACTGGCCTAATGGGACTGCCTCACGACCCCACCAACATGGCCGCCATGTTTCCAATGATGCTGTCCGGAATGACTGGCCTGCCGAACCTCCTCGGGATGAGCGGTCTCCTCGGAAAGCCCTCGCAGGAAGCAGCGGGTGGAGCTTTGACAGGTGACGAGGACGGAAAAAAGAGGAACGGCGGAGAGTCCGCCACGCACAAAGCGTCGGCTCAGACTTTGGTTCCGGATAGCAAAGCGGAAAGGACAGAGGGTCAAAGCTCCAGAGCCACCACCTCGATGGCCACCAACTCGAATCAAACAAGTGCTTCTGTTTCAGGCCACTCACTGGCCCTCAACCCCCTTCTCCTCTCTAGTATGCTCTACCCAGGGATGCTTCTTACTCCAGGCCTTAACCTGCCTGTGGCCAACCAGCCGCAAGCTGCAAACACTCAGCCAACTCCGCTGCTGCAACCAGCTGCCTCTGAAGCCACGGTCCAGCGGCCCGGCCGCTCAGAGGACAGAGACAGCGATGAGGGGGAGGAGCCCGACGAAAAGAAGGATACCAGTGGTCCAGAAGGCTCAGCGAAGGCAGAGTCGTCCTCCTCCGAGTCCGACAGCTCCTCCTCGTCATCCGAGGATTCCGATTCCAGCGACGAAGACTGAGTCTTTATACATGTATAAATAAATATTATATATTTATATACATCTCTTAGAAATGTATACATATACACACATATAGGAATTATCCTGCATTTACTACATCATGTTTTTTGTTTCCATGTAAATATAATAACTAAAGTGTTGTGTAACGGAGGAAAAAATGGAAAACGGAGATTCTAGAGAAACTGAAATGAGATTTCAGTGTTTGTTTAGGTACATTGTCGTTTCGAAGAGACGTTTTGCATGTCGAAAAAAAAAAAACTTTGTGAAATTGTATTACACCATGATGTACAATTGCAACGGACAAGAAGCAAAAACTAAAAGGCATTATTGTTATAACTATGTCGGGATTTAATTTTATTAAAGAAATGAGGATGCTGTTGCTCATTGCAGAGCTGTATAATTAATATATTTTCTTTTGGGAGAAAAAACACATCGACTGTTTGGGTTTCATTTGTAAATACTTGAGCAGGATCCTGAACACATAGACTTCACAGAGCATACCTACAGATCCACAGCAATAACACACAGGCAGCTTATGAATGTCACTGAAGCTGTAGAGACCCTGCATTTGTTCATTCATTCATTCATTCATTCATCACACACGTTCTTGTTCATTCACTCCTATTGCGATTTGTGCATCTGTTTACTGTCCTGGACTCTGCCTCCTGCTCATGGTCTGTCCTTCCTTCCTTCCTTCCTACCTACTTTTAAATTATCTTCATACAGCTATTTTTACCCAAAGATTTGAGTTTTGTACGTAACACGTGGGTGCAGGAAATCCATCTTGCCAACACGCAGTACGGTGACGTCTATAGTTTATCATATATTCTTTTAGGGACACATTCCTCCCTGCCTGAAACATATGCTTCCAACAGATATTACCGTTTTTATTTCAGACCACTTTTCTTCACATCCATATATTCATACATTTCTTTTAGCGTTCAGACAGCACTGTGTGTGTGTGTGTGTGTGTACATGTGTGGCGTTCTGTGCTTATGAACACTTGCCTCAATTTGCATGAAAATCTATGTGTCCAAGGTCCTGTTGGCCTCACATGCAAACCTTCTCGTGACAGACAGCAGTGCGTATATATCCTCTTTTTTCCACAGACTGCTACAGTATTGACACATTAGTTCATCACTTGCTAAATCACCCATGTTTGTAATCCGTGTAAAAGTATTGAGAGAAATTCAAGTATTTCCAGTAGTATTTCAGTTACTTAGGCACATCAAGTCCGCAGATTTGATGGGAGGGTTAAATACGCTATACAGTTCAAAATTACATGTTCCTTTAGTCTGATCAAATACGTCCGTCGTTTTTCAGATCCACATAGTCGCCTTGCTGCTGTTAGATGTAAATGACTGATCTAGAAGTGTCCTTATGCCATACTTCAGTGTCTGTCCCTCATAGAACGATTCATTGCAGTCGAGCACCTCGGCCAACACGATGAACCTCATTGGCGTTTTGAATCAGGACGTGTATGTGATTTGTTTTCTGTAACATGTGCTGATGTACCCTTGTTCTAGACTGTTAGGCTCATTTGATTCACGCGAGTCTCTGCTGCGTCACGTTTGTTCATATTCAGGTTTGGCTACTGAAGTTTTCCATTTGTGATGCAAATTTCTTCGGGATGCACTGCACAATGCAACTCTTTGCCTGTCTCACTAGTGAACACAGTAATAGTAATGGGTCTTTCCAAGCATGTATGAGTACATTCAACATGGTTTCACTCAGATGCCCCAACTTTTATCTCTCTCAGTGTGATTTTTGCCTCAGTAGATGTTCTGAATGCCCTCTCCTCTCCACTGTGGCATCAGATCTTCCTCTTTCCATTTAGTTTGTGCTGAGCCACGAACTTTGAAACTGTGTACAGGTATTGCTGCTTTCCACTTCTTCCCAAACCCGCACATGAAACCTATATAGTTCCTCTTATTATGACATTGCAGCTTTAGCATCTCATTTAACTGAATAATGTTCTGAGAAGAATTGCAGGTGTACTGAGAATTGGACATTTACCTTGGTTTTCTTTCTTTCTTTCTTTTTCATGTGTATACATTAATTCAGTATTTTGGTTGTATTTCATGTGTTGCATTATGAACCGCTGGACTACTGACCAGAATCAGGGCAAGACTTGCCGTTGTGGCACAAAGACAATGACATCCAACATGCAACAGCAAATGAAATGGAAATACACTACTGCAAATAAAAGTTTGTTTTCAGTTATGTGAATGATTGAATTGACAAACCGACTCGTTTGTTTTAATGGCTTATTTTGTTTCATATTTTTAATATTTTGAAATTAAAGCCCCCTCTTTTTTTTTCTTCTTTTTTTTTGGACAGTTGCAATACTTGCAAGTTGTGGCCTGTGTAGTCAATTAATGCTTCTTGTAGTGCAGGATACATGTCTTAAAAAGTTTGTAATTTATTGAATTACTTTCTATGAAGTTCTATAGAAGAAATTGAGGTTTAATTATTTTTATTAAACATATTCTGACTCTACAGAAAAATCTTGTCTCATGTGAAATTTGTCAAATGTATTTGTTTGTTTTGAGCTGAAGCACCAGTTATTAAAATCTAAAACTGTCTAAAATCAAAACATCTAAAAATGTTTTTATTAATCTGTGATGAAAGTGGGCTGGTTTGATTGCATTTGTAATTTAAAGGACATCAACTAACATGATATTGAATATTTGACAGCAAGTGAATTATGGGACTGATATAATCTATGTTTTTGATGTGATGGACTGATAAGGGTAACAATTTATTTTACAGTGTCCTTGTTACATGTATAGTAATGACTATAAATTATGCATAAATACATGCAACTAACCCTAAAGCAAACCAGTACTGTAGGTGTTGTTAATTATTGTTGTTAATTAATATTACTCAGTACTTAAATGTATAATTACACCGAAACAAGGACAACTTAAAATAAATATAACTATATAGTTAAAGGGCTCCCTATATAACATCCAAATCATCCTATTCAGAAATGTAACGGAAGGTAGCTAAAAGTAAAATGTCAACTGACTAGATGTACTTTAATACGTTCACCAACATGTTAATTAAATGTTAATTAAAACAAGATTATTAATATTATACATATTTTTTCTGCTTGTTACTTTTAATCAAGCAAAAGTATGCAAATTGTTATATTTCAGAATTGTGGGAGTACATTGAAAGAATGTATAACTACAGACTGAGGTGCTTACATGGCATAAGCTACTTTCCTGTAGGTGAAACGTGGTACAAAGAAAACAAATTAGTGAACAACATGATCAGTCCTGATTTCAGCACTGTTGTCAGTTGTTTCTCTCCCTCAGGATGTTTGTAATCTAGAGAGAGATCTCTACTGCTGAATCTCTGCCAATCCCATCAGAAACAGCCCATTATGATGATATGCTGAACTATTCAGTGTGTTGTACATCAACTAAGGGAAAGCATCAAGTTGTTGATTACTACAGGAAAAATCAGATGTTAAACATTTTCTAATTACTAACTTGATTGTTTTATTTTCCCCTTTGCAGTGTCATATCAAATCAACAGTGATGGGAAAGTTACAAGTTACCCTATTTAAAATGTAATAAGTAGTGTAACGATTTCAAATACTTTATTAAAGTAATGTAACTGATTAGATTTGATTACTTCTAGCGAATGTTTTCAACTGCATCAGAGTATCGCTTTACTAAACTCTCTTTTCATGAGTTCACACCTACAAACTTATATCCCCCCCAGGAATATACTTAACCATCTCTGGTTAAGATAGTAACCAGTGGAGTGTGAGGAGACGGGGTGGTGGTGGGATGCAAAAAACTGTCAATGAATATAGGTGAGTCCACTCTAGGCCTCCCACTTGCTGATTGGTTAGGCAATTTGAACGTGTTCCTCCTGAACTTTGTTAATAAAACATCATTAAATGCCTGGAGGCATCGTGCACATCAAAAACAGGCAAAGCAACAAATTAATATTATTCAACATATCCTATTTTTTTACAGAAAATATTCAGATGTAATCGTTAACATTTTCATAAGTAACTGTAATTTAATTACACATTTCTCTTAGTTAACATATTACCCAGTGCTGCGTTTAAGTTAAATTTGTTATGCCTTCCCTCACTGAATACCCTTTGTCTCATTAACTCAGATGTACGTCATGCTTAGCCCATGTTAGACGAGTGCTACTGTCGGGCGGCAGTGGCTCAGTGGTTCATGTAGGTTGTCTACAAACCGGAAGGTTGGTGGTTCAATCCCCGGTTCCACCTGACCAAGTGTCGAGGTGTCCATGAGCAAGACACCTAACCCCAGCTGCTCCCGACGAGCTGGATGGCGCCTTGTATGGCTGACACCGCCGTCTGTGTATGAATGAGTGAGTGAATGGGTGAATGTGAGGCAAAATGTAAAGTATATAAATATATAAATGTATAAATGCAGTCCATTTACTGTCAGATCCCTTGCAATGTGTTTAAATGGAACACCCTAAACCAGTGGTTTCCAAACTTGGTCCTGGAGGGCCACTATACAGAGTTTAGCTCCAACACACCTGGAAGTTTCTAGTATGCTTAAGATGTTTTTAATTAGCTGGTTCAGGTCTGTTTAATTGGGGTTGGAGACAGTGTCCCTCCAGGACCAGGATTGGACACCCCTGCCCTAAGCCCTTTATCACTTGGAATCTGCCATACAAGTTGCTGTTGTGACCTCACAATCGTGTTGCATTGTGGTCTACGAATCTGCCTGAAGTGTACATATGACTTCGGTCAAAATCCCTCGATCCAAATGAACTTACACTTGACAAAGTTGAATGCATTTCAAATGGCAGCGGGGATTCTCCCGAGGGGATGTGCTAAGGGAAGTTTGTGAGTGGATGTCTAAAAGTGGAGTTAAACAGCCTATTTCTCTAGGGGTGTCCAGTCCTGCTACCTAAAGGGGTGTCCTGTTTAGCTCCAACTCCATTTAAACACGCCTGAACCAGCTCATCGAGGTCTTAACTTCCAGGCAGGTGTTTTGAGGCAAGTTGGAGCTAAACTCTACAGGACAGTGGCCCACCAAAAGCAGGTTTGGACACCCCTGCTCTAGGGCATCTCAACATTAAATAGTGATCAATGAATCACAAACATTTTGACAGGAAGTGTTTCAACACCTCTAAAATTAATCAGTGTGTCAGTGTTGTCATATTTCGTGTAGATAATGCTCTGACCCAGAGATTAATGAAAGAGGCTTTTTCCTGCTTGTTCAACCTGTCATTAATTTGTTACAATGGACAGACACTGACTGACAACCAGCCCTGCTGTGTTTATCAGTAACCATGTCTTCACACGCCATCAGGTTAAATGTCAACTCGCGTTGCCTGGCAGGTTAACACAAAGTCTGTGGGAATCTAAATCAACAAACCCTGCTAATTGTGACCATGCTGAAGTATGTTTGCAGTACCTGCACCAATGCCAACAGGAAGTTCATTGTGTTGTCATAGAAATCAGAGCCCTGACTTCCACAACACTGTTATAGGAGACATACTACTTAGGCAGAGATTGTATATGATGCACTTCTAAAGAGCACATTACTGCCTATGGTTAACATCTGCTGAGATACTTCGCTACGTTTTATTGTTGTCTTTTAGCATCAAAATATTCAGTACAAGAATATTGGGATATTACAATGGGGTGCAACTCAAGTAAAGGTACTGAGGTTGTGGATTCATCCAAAAAACCTGGAGACAGACCCAAATCAGCCGAATCAGGCGACTCATCGGACAAAGAAGAGGACAATGTCAATGAAATCTCACACACAGAGAATAATGGGGTTGAGACAGAAGACAGCTGATACTGTCTTTTAATTCGCTGGCTACCTTCCTCAAGCTTCTATGGTAAGATTCACAAATCTGTTTTGACATGTCAAGAAACTATTTCCTATATCACCTCATTTTATGATGCTGCATAATAGTTTATTTATCTGCTCAATTGAGAGAACAGCATCAGGAATCGTTGAAACACTCTTAAAAATAAAGGTTCCAAACGGGGGTTTTCAAAACAATGCCATAGAAGAACAATTGTTGGTTCCCTAAAGAATATTTTAGTTAAAGGTTCTCAAATAAAAGGTTCCATGGATGTTAAATGTTCTTCATGGAACCATCGATGCCAATAGATGGAACTTTCTTTTTTAAGAGTACCATACACTTGACACGACTACTTATTTGACACATACACTTATATGACTTTTATCTGTTTCAGTTTATTTCCAGTCCAGCTGTGATCAGCTAGTTTCCAGGAGAGTGTGATGAGATCTACATCCCAGCCTGTTACTTAATATGTTCTCATCTCATCGCGTGATCTCTGTCCATTATACATACTGCAATACCTTCCTTCTGTATGGTTCCTTGCATGATTAAACTTATAAGGAAAGTATCAAAGATTAAAAAGATTATAATATCACATTGCTGTTTAAGAATGTAAATAAATATTCTTAAGAAATAATAAATGCATTATAATTTGTTTTTTTTTACACCCCACATGCATGCTTTATTATATTAACATTATGCTAAATTCACTACAGACTGGAACAATATCGTCAAAGACCAACAGATGACTCTCTCTCTCTCTTTCTCTATTTAAATTGTATATTATCTATATGAAATGAATGCACATTTGACAAAACCTGAACCTTTGTGTATGCAGCACGAGATCAAATGTGATATAATGAGCCTAAAAAATTATAAATGCTAAAACAGGCTACTTTACAAAGTGGTTTAAAAGAGATTTCTGTCAGAGTGGGCACTTTTTATTGACAGTTATCGTTTTTATACTGAACTGAGCTAATGATATTTTCTATTCCACTAAACCAAACCCTCACATTTTAGATTTTCATTAAAACATTTTTAGTAGCTTATGTTTATAAAGATGTTTCCTCTTGAGGACCGTTGGCCTCTTCTCACAATGCAGGCTATGTGATTTCAGGTGTTACTATCACATTCTGATAAGCAAATCTTGACCTGACGCACATACAGATGAGCACCACTAGGGGGCAAACGTACTCTTTATGGAATCAGCATTTTCTGCAGTTGCACCCCTTGCTGAGAGCATTCAATGTGAAATGTATGTTTTAAGATTATTAACACAGAGTGGGTTGAGCTCACAGAAAAGCTATTCTATAAAGCCCAGTTTCACACTCTCATCAGAAAGACAGCAGGAAATTGTTGCAAAATATTATTATTCCACAAATGGATACTGTGAATAAATT